GACTTAGTGAACTTTATGCTTGGAACTTTAGCATGAGACCCCCCCCCCCTCCATATTCCCTTTGGACTGTGAACGTTCCATTATTTCCTATATCTCTGATACTCCACATATTTTTTGTTTTTGGCTTTGGAGTTTAATAAAAATAAATACTTTTACTTCTTTCTTTTTAGTATATGGTATGGTATAGTATAGGCTAAAGTCCACCATTAGTCCTTCAACTTTGTAGGCTGTGCACAATTGATCTTTCAAGTTTCAAAAGTTCAGAAATAGTCTTTCAAGTATTTAACAACCTCTAAATCTAGTCCTTCAAGTTTCAAAAGTCCATAAGTAGTTCTCAAGCATTCATTAACCTTCCAAATGTAGTCCTTTTTACGGTATACGTTAAAAGCTAAACAAAGTACTAACTCCATATATATATAACTTCCGACCTGCAATATGTGCCATATGCAACTAGCTCCATATATATAAATTCCGGCTCAGTGCCAGATGTAACTTCCGACCTGCAATGGGTGCCCGGCGCTGTCCCCATCTTTTGAGCAGCACAGCAAATCTTTCCTCCCATTGTAAATGCTGGAGATAATTTTACTTTCAAAGAGGTTCAATTTGTACATTAAAAAATACAAAACTTTGATTGGAATTGTGGAAACCCGTTAATTTCCTGGATGTACTATATATATATATGTGTGTGTGTGTGTGTATATATATATATATATATATATATAAATAAAATCTTTTATCCTACTAAAGTTTTTTCATTTTTCTTTATATATATGGGGTATCTAGCACTGCATATAAGTGGGTTAAGTCTTATTTGGGCCATGTCTGTCAATTGGGAAAGAAGCCCAAGAATTAGATATGAAAAATAAGCCAAACTACTCCGTATGTATAATAGGGAGTACAGGTAAAAAAAAGAAAAGAAAACCCTAGCAATATGCATAGGAATCGCAGAGGAAAGCGATGGGAGACTTTCGATTCAGGTGCAACCGCGGGTTAACGACTCTTCTCTTCTTCTTTTTCCGGCTTTTTCCTCTTTCGATCTGTGTCCAAGCCGTTTCGGAAAAGGGAGACGCGTTTCCAGGCGTGTCCTACGCGTTTCCGCGTGTCCTAGGTTTCCGAAACGGAGACGACAACCTGTATGACGTTTCCGTGCAACATAGTGAGAAAGTCTAAGTTGAAGCTCTATGTAAGCGTATGAAACATGTTGTTGTCATTTAAATAAAATTAGTTTACTTTAAATTCTTAGACCATTAGGGATAAGATTTTTAGGGCCTTTTTTTGTCTTTGCTCATGCCGTTGAATTCTCAGGTTCGGTTCTGCCGCAGTGAATCTTTCTCTGCATTATGGATGTCATGAAGCTACTAAACAATTACCCCTTTACTACACTAAATGATCTGGACAAGTTTTTCTTCAGTTGTGATACTTCCAACGCGAGTGATTGCTTTGCGTATGCCCTGAAGTTTCTGGAAAAGTACCCCTATGTTACAATGCAAGATGTGGAGAAGGATATAATCCGTGGTTGCACTCTCTCGGTGATTGATACAAATATTCGTACTATCAATTCCAACCGAGAAAAAGAAAAACTTTTTGGCAGAGAACATTTTGAAGCTGGGCCTTTGCTTCATGTGCATTCAGTACATGTAAAACCAGAAGATGCTATAAAAGACAAACCACTCTCTGTATATGGTACGATCCGGGTTAAGTATGAACATATCAAGAGTGGAAAACCAATGCAGCTTGATGTTTACAACCGAAGTTCTGATGATGCCGACTACATTAGCCCTAGAGGTGGTGATTTAGCTCTTGGTTGGCCTAACACTTTCCCTAATTGTAATGATATGTGGGTGGGATTGCAAGNTACTTCCAACGCGAGTGATTGCTTTGCGTATGCCCTGAAGTTTCTGGAAAAGTACCCCTATGTTACAATGCAAGATGTGGAGAAGGATATAATCCGTGGTTGCACTCTCTCGGTGATTGATACAAATATTCGTACTATCAATTCCAACCGAGAAAAAGAAAAACTTTTTGGCAGAGAACATTTTGAAGCTGGGCCTTTGCTTCATGTGCATTCAGTACATGTAAAACCAGAAGATGCTATAAAAGACAAACCACTCTCTGTATATGGTACGATCCGGGTTAAGTATGAACATATCAAGAGTGGAAAACCAATGCAGCTTGATGTTTACAACCGAAGTTCTGATGATGCCGACTACATTAGCCCTAGAGGTGGTGATTTAGCTCTTGGTTGGCCTAACACTTTCCCTAATTGTAATGATATGTGGGTGGGATTGCAAGGAACAGGCATAGAGGTGGATCTCTATCTCAAAATTGGGGATGAGGGTGTTCCGTTGGTTCAAGGGGAAATTTTGGTGGGGGAGACAACTGAAGGTGATTTTGAAGAAGTAATATCAAAAGAATTCCATTGTGAACATTGCTCTGCTACATTGATTTATATTGCAATGCCATTTGCTGTTCTTTGCTCTGTTAAAGTTAGCTTCACTAGCGAAGACAAGGGTCGAGATGTTAATGTTGCTGGAAAAATTTCTGCCCGATATAAGAGCACTTATGGAAACTATGATTCACAAGAGTGTGTTCTTTTTGAGAAGCAGAATTGTTTTGAACCAGTTAAGATGGAGAATAACATGAGGATGTCGAGAACAATATTGGGGTTGCCAGCATATTCATCACTTGAACTTGATCTGGACTTGAGGGACTTCAACACAAACAAAGAGCTGATAAAAAAAAAAGTAGCATTGTGCGACTGGAATTGCCCATTTGCACCTTGGAATGCTGTGGTTGAGGATGATCTTGCTCTCATTGTCAAGGCAGGATTGATTCCATACCAACCTGATGGGCGCTATGTGTGGAGTGATTCAGACGAGGATGAGGTAATTCATTCCCTAAAGGTAGTAACTTTATGCCAAAAAAAAGGTCCAACATGACTTAAGCCATTACTCTGTAAATTATAAAAACTCTAAACTCTCAAGATAAATGTAGGAATAATAAAAAAGTTACCAGTAATATATTTGATTTTTGAAATTAATTATTTTCCATTCAAACTAAAACGGACATTTTTTTTGCAATGTCTTAGCTAGAAATTAATAGGGCATACCAAACTTTCCTTGCTTATTGTTGGGAAATTGATTAATAATCAAAAGAAAAAGAAAAGAAAAAAAAAATAAGGACATGAAAAGATGGAAAACAAAGAAAAGATAACAAAGGAAAAAATGGGATGGATGCATTGAATGTGGGAGGATGCATTGAATGCTAGGTGTCGGCCATTTCTTGATTGTCTTTTATTCCTTTGTTCATATGCTCCTTTGTTGCCTATTTAACTAGCCATGTGAAGAGTTCTCTGTGTGTGTGGTTTTCAACACACCAAGGTAGAGAGAGAAACAAAGAAGAGGATTCTACACAAGAATACCACCGGGAAAATCCAAGGGATCTTGGTGAGTGTGGGTGAGTGTAGGGAGTAACTGGTATTTAGTTACTCGGAAAATACATCCGGGTGTAGGGTGTGAAAAGTCTGTTTATGAGTGTCTGAATTTAGCCTTATAAACAGGGGAGAGTTTTTTGTATATTGTCCTGAAAGAGTGGAAATATAATTTTTTTCTCTCATATATTCTCCTTGTGTTTGTTCTCTCATTTTTCTGGTGTTCTCAATATTTTTGGTATCTTACGCGCTTAAAATCCCAACAATTGGTATCAGAGCTTGGTTGCGCTGGCAGGAGGGATTTGTAAGCGGTAAAATGAGAAATTTTGAGAACCCAGGGATTGGTCGGTTTTGGCCAGAAGGCGACCATGTGACATCAAGAACAAAGTGGATGGCATGAGGACCCGGTACAAAGCGGCATGTTGGCTTTGTGAAGTATGGTGCGGGAACAGGACTTGAGGAGATCGGTGGTCTAGCGGAGTGGAAAACTGCGGTTTATGTCTTGTGTCGAAAGTCTTCCCGGCAAGAAGAGGTCGGGCGGCGTGTTCCGCAAGTGTTGCTGCGGCGGTGCAAGATGGGCAGATTGAAAGAAGCTAACTGCTAGAGGGGTGGTCTCAGAGAATGTTAACAAAGGTGAGTTATCTTTTTTTTAGCTCGGGGTGGAGGGTTAAACCTCTAAGGAGCTAAGGTCGAGGCGGTGATCTTGACGGGTTGGTTGAGATGGAGCCACGGGTACAGCGATAATTAGAAATGGTGAGGACCTTGTCGTATTGAGCAAGGTGAGGCCACGACTAGGGCTGTAAACGGATAGCCGAAAATCCGATTACCGTCCGCATCCGTATCCGTTTAAAGAGAAAATATCCGCATCCGTTTTGAACAGATATTATCCGTATCCGATTAAGGATATCCGATTACTAAACGGATACGGATTTGGTAATTGTATACCCGATCCGTTTAAAATCCGATCCGCATATGCATCCGTTTAAATAACCGTTTATCCGAATATCCGATCCGTTATATATAGTTTTTCCTAATTTTTTATGTTTATATTTTGTTTTCTATTGATATTCCAAAATATAAGACATTTTTAAATACAAAATAAATGTGTACACATAAAAATATATACATACATATAAAAATATGTGTATATATGTGTTGTGCATATATTTTTATCATATAAAATTATTGTAGAATATCAGAAATCATGACAACAAAGAAAATAATTATCTTATACTCCCTCCGTCCCACAAAAAAGTTCCCATTTTGACCATAACTTGGTCAAACAGTTACACGCTTTGACCATAAATTAAATATAATCTAAATAAAGAAATGCTAAAAAAATTTGAGATATCAAAACTAGATCCTAAGATGAATCCAATTATATTAAATTTATTTTATAATTCAATATATCTTTCTCACAATTTGTAGTCAAAGCGTGTAAATATTTGACTAAATACTATTCAAAATGGGAACTTTTTTGTGGGACGGAGGGAGTAACAAATTATAGTTGATTTAATAATAGTTTGACTTTAATCTAATTTAAAAATAAAGTATTTTTTAATTTGATTTTAAAAATTGGAAACGGATGCGGATACGGTTTTGATTTTCTGTATCCGTCAAGATCCGTATCCGAATTCGATATCCGACAAAAATAAACGGATGCGGATTTGGTAATGGCACATCCGATCCGATTAATATCCGTTTACACCCCTAGCCACGACCATGAGTCAAGATATGGTGAAGAGCTTGCGGTATTGAGCAAGATAGGGCATGAAATTTTTTTCAAGGTGGTAATGATCTTGGTGGTTGGACCAAGGTGGAGCCACGATGAATTTTTTTTTGCTTTGAGGTTGGAAGCAGTGATCTCGGGGGAGTAGACTGAGAGGGCGCCAAGGATAATTTTTTTTTTTTCCGGAGTAGTGGTGATCTCACCGGAGAAGTGAGGTGGAGCTACAAAGTTTTTTTTGATTATTTAATCAAGGTGGAGTTTGTTGGGAAATTGATTAATAATCAAAAGAAAAAGAAAAGAAAAAAAAATAAGGACATGAAAAGATGGAAAACAAAGAAAAGATAACAAAGGAAAAAATGGGATGGATGCATTGAATGTGGGAGGATGCATTGAATGCTAGGTGTCGGCCATTTCTTGATTGTCTTTTATTCCTTTGTTCATATGCTCCTTTGTTGCCTATTTAACTAGCCATGTGAAGAGTTCTCTGTGTGTGTGGTTTTCAACACACCAAGGTTGAGAGAGAAACAAAGAAGAGGATTCTACACAAGAATACCACCGGGAAAATCCAAGGGATCTTGGTGAGTGTGGGTGAGTGTAGGGAGTAACTGGTATTTAGTTACTCGGAAAATACATCCGGGTGTAGGGTGTGAAAAGTCTGTTTATGAGTGTCTGAATTTAGCCTTATAAACAGGGGAGAGTTTTTTGTATATTGTCCTGAAAGAGTGGAAATATAATTTTTTTCTCTCATATATTCTCCTTGTGTTTGTTCTCTCATTTTTCTGGTGTTCTCAATATTTTTGGTATCTTACGCGCTTAAAATCCCAACACTTATTGTATCCTCTGTTTGAGAAATTCTGGACAGTAAGTGTAGCCATGCATCAAGGGCCCAACAACAATGGCCTCTATGTTGGGGGAAGGTTGTGTACATCTAGACCCCCAAGATTCCAAATATAATGGGTTTGTTGTTTCTGTGAGCTCAAAGTTTCATTTTAGTTCTTGTTCGCCTTGTTTTTGCTTTTTGCTAGAGGGAAACATATTACATTAAAAGAGCATTGCATTTGTTTGATATTTTAATTTTACATCACTCTTTATCTAACATTTTGTCATTTCTCCTCAGTCTTGTAATGAGTCATCATCATCACCATCATCATCATCACGTGACAATGACAACACTTGGTATGTGATTCTTCCATTTGTGCATTTTCAATATTATAGCTTAGCCACATTTTAAAGTGTTTGTTGGTTTATAAGTTTATTTATTTTTGATTAGGTGTCATCTTCATGGTGAAAAAAGTATACCAGAACCATCAGAATTGATGGAATTCTACTCAATATTTATAGGACGTAAAAAATTGGCACCACTGAAAATTTTTGGCACAGTTGAACTCTTATCCAATTATAATACTCGGTACCTATTCAAGAGGACTCGTGAAGAGGCTATTGAAGTAGAATATTCACAGAAAGTTCTACCGTTTTTAGATGTGTGTAAGAGTTTTTCTAAATTTGACCTAGTTGAATTGAAGGTGGATCTAAAAGATGTTGGTGGGAAATATCAGAACAAAGGTTTTGCTACTTATGATTTTGGGTTCTTATACCCTGGCTCATCGTATAACACCCAAATATGTTCTGTTCTTCCGGGCAAAGATGGGTTTTGTGCATTGCACTACTCCATGTTCACAAGAGCTTGTCAAGCAAATATCGAGATCTTTTTCAAGATTAAGAGTGATCAGTTAGCGGCTGGCAAGATCTATGGAAGTGCAATCGCTCGATATAGCAACTTTGACTACTCAACTAAGTTAAAGAAAGATTATTTTCGGAGCGTGCTTTTCAAGAGGACTGATAAGGATCCAGTACATTTAAAGAATGATGAGGAAGAACTAGTTTCTCAAAGTGTTGTTGTGGTGCCAATGGATGCGTCCCTCATTATTGACGTAAATTTTTTTTGCATGTCTCCGAGAGATCGTCTATTTAGGAAAGAAAAGTTTAAGATTGGAGATTGCTGCTCTAAAGCAGATACAAAAGAAAAAAAGTATGAATTTCGCATCAGGCTCACTTGGACTGATGGTAAGCAATTGTATTTATGGTTATACTTTACTTTTCTAGCTTTTGCTATTTCAATCATTTGGTTTACAAGAATATGGTCCAAAACAAAGCAGCATGCTTGGTTTCTTAAGTGTTACAGTCCCACACATGGTAGTCAAACTCGCGATCCAGATTGCATGATTCCTCAGATCGCTAGGTCCCTTCCGATCTGAATTGCGGCTAAAATCGCAACCCCTATTAGAATCAAACAGATCGACGATTGGGTTAGGCACTTTGGTGTGTGTATATACACACACACATATACATAGATACATATACATATATATGTGTGTGTGTGTATATATATATATCTATATGTAGATATATGTGTGTGTATGCGCGCTTCTGAAATGTTAGTATTGCTTCTTATCTTCAAAAATGTTTCGGTCATAAAATGCATCAAGGATCTAATGGAAGCATCCTCTCTCTCTCATCGTTCGCAATTGGTTTGCTCATTGTGAGGTTTGGTCTGTCTCTACTCTGACTAAGAAGCAATTCTATTGACAACATAATTATAATCTTGGGAAAATGTAAAGAGTCTTGATCCATTGTGCTACATATTAAGTTTGGGGTTGATGATATTTTCATTACTGTTGATTCAGGATTGCATGATGGGCGGAGTGAATTTCACAAACACAAGGTAATTCATTCTTTAATTGTACGCAGCAAAAAATTTTGTGCAAAAAGAAGTCAAACATGTGTTTAGACATAAAACAATAAATCACTATGCAGTATGCAGTGAAGATAAATTATATGTGTAATAAAAATTAATGGAAAATATACATGAATATTCCCAACTCTGAATACTACCACAATCAATGTTGCACAAGAATACTCTCAGGAGATTGCCATGTCACAAAAAGCTCCATTGATAGTGGAATTTGTCCCTTCATTATGTTTATCTTTTGTTGATTTTGTTATTTTAAGATGGTTAAGCTGCAGAGTACTTCCTCCGTCCCCAAGTATTTGTCCACAATTCCAATTTGGGCCGTCTCACAGTATTTATCCACTTTCCGTTTATGGTAAAAAGAATCACACACATTCCCAACTTTACCCTTTATAGCTTAATCAATTTACATCACCCCACCCATGAAATAACTCTTCCAGCCACTCAAGTTTCTCCATTTACTGGACCTCCTAAGTTTCTCCATTTAGTGGAAAATTGGAGATGCGATGAAGACGGTAACAAGTGTAGAAAATGCTCTGAAAATGCAGTGGTAGACATTTGGATTTGGTGCTGATGAAGGAGCTAATCAGTATTCATACAAATAATAGAGGATAAACAATATTGTCTTTGGAGCATTTTTGCGACAGAGATTATCTCACGGGGTATTATTGTGAAATGTTTGTTGGAGTATTTTGGAGACACCCACCATTCATTGAACAATGTATTGGGTTTGCTATTTGACGGTTTTGTCCTTCTTGATGATTTTTCATTTATTCAATATTCTTCAATGTGGCTACTTCCTTCCCTTAAAAAAAAGAAAATCCTTCCATTTCTTCAATATCTTGTTTTTTCATATAGCTCACACTTCTCATTGCTTTTGTTTGTAATTTGTGTGCGTTTGGCTGGATAAAAAAAGGCAACGAATGACATGGCAAAAGTGGAGATGGAAGCTGCCGAGTTAGAGAGTGATTCTCTTGCTAAAGAACTCGAAAGCCCCGTGACCACCAAAGAGCAACCAAAAGCAAAGCTACCAAATGCGGATCGCAAGATGAATGGAGTGATTTAGACGAAGACACGGTAATTCCTTCTTTATTTGCAATATATATGCACATGCAAAAGGAATTCTTACATGAATTTATTCATAAAATTACAATAATGAAAATCCCTAAATTTGATTTATTCATGCATTCCACACTTAACTTTGAGCCTTAATTGTTGTACTCAACGCACGTGCAGTAGACCTTGTTTCAGATTTAAAAAATTGGCATTTCGCTGAGTCTATGAACACAGGGATTGAAGGTTGCATATTTCTTGACCCTCAAGACCTCATTGAGTTTGGATGATACTAGGGTTGTTTTCGTTGCTTTTTATTTAAAAGTAAAAAGATTGTGTAAATGGTAAAACTTATAGTCCTACTTGGGTCTCTTTTGATTCAATTATTTCATTTTCATTTGAAGTTCCAAGCTTAAATAGTTAAATGTATATTCTTATACTATAACCCAACGGTTCTTTTGACCTTGGAAACCAAAGTCATATTATGTCCCGGGGCACTCACAGTGTTATATTGGTAAAATTTGATCGTTCTTATTCCTCTACCACCTACATCCCACCCTAGCACCCCCAG